GAATCCCTAGAAACGGACTCAAAAGGAGTATAGTCTCATGATATTATCAATTACAGAGGCTAAAGTGTCGAGAACATTGAACTCTAAATGTTCTTTAGAAAGGAGTCCTAATACACAAGCCTGTCTTTTTAAAACTATGCAGATGGGCACTCCAGTGCAGGGTCTGGTGACAGTGGGGTCAGGGCACATGAAGAGCAGTTTGCTCTTATGTGCAGCCTGGACAGGTATCAGGTTGCAGGATTACTGAGAAACTAGATTATAGAAGTCTTTTCCAGTTTACTAGAACATTCTAGTTCCAGTCTCAGAGCAGTAGGAACTATTGGTATACCCAAGACAGTGCTTAACAAAATAAGAAACCACATTTCTAAATGATCTGCTGCCTGCTGATGTGAGAGCAAATTATAAAGCAGTATTGTCCACTGGAATCCGCAGTTGCTTCAATAATCTAGACAACACCCACTTATGCTTGGATTGTGGCAGTAAAAAATGAGTGAAATTGAAGGGATGTGGGGTAAATTTGGAAGAAAACCCACCAAAACTTACTGAGAGATAAAGACAAGCAAAAAAAAAATTCCCCACTCTCTTTTCAAGAAGTAGATACAGAATCAGCTTGAATGAAATTATTTTATGTAGATTTGGTTTTATGCTATCATTTCAAAACTTGGATTGCCTGTTCAAGACAAATTTCCACCGGGAGTTATTGGCATACTATATTAGACATAGAATTCACAGTTAATAACACACTGTGGTTATATACAAACACACAGACACTTCAATCATTGCTCAACATATATCTCTATACCTGCTTTCAAATGATGTCTTAGGTGATGAGAACAGATACTTTCAATTAAAAAATGGTAAAATTCTTCCATTTGTTTCAAGATAACATAGAGGTTGGTAAAACAGATGGAATCTCTAAGGACTCCATATCACACTTCAGCAGGCAACAGAATTATAAACTCACAGCCAAGCAAGATAGATATATCAATGTACTTTGGGTTAGAACAACTGACTGAAAATTGGCATGAATTATAATTTTTTAAATCTTCAAGAGGACCCAGGGGGCAATACACCCATACTCAGCTCAAATTAGAGAAAGTGGGATATAATTGCTTAATTACCTGGGTCCCCTCTGGGAGTGGAGCTGCCTGTTGAAGAAGACATCGGGTTTGCCTTTGGAGAACTCACACACTATTAATGACAAAATAACCATCAGGAATTTAGTGGCTCATGAAGAATTTTGCTTTTCTGGTTCACTCAAGGAAAATGTAATTCAGAGTACATAATGAACCAAACTGAAGGTTAAGAGTGATAACCAAAGTCTCTTAATTTTACACTTAATGGCATTTTGTGATGGGGGGAGTATACATGTGGGGGTGTGAGTGAGTACATACAATGCACATACATGTGTATGGAGGCCAGAGTTCAATGTAGGGATGTCTTCCTCAGCTGCATTTTTTTTTTGAGACAGGTCTCTCATTGAAACTGGAGCTTACTGGTTGGCTAGATTGGTTGGTCAGCTAGCCCAAGAGACTGTCTCCGCCTCCCCAGTGCTGGGTCTATAGGCAAACACTACCATGCTCAGTAGTTGTTTTTAAGTATTAATTCTTGATAATTTTATATACTGTATCTTTAGTCCTCTCCCCATTTTATCCCAGATTCACCCCCTTATTTCATACCCACACAACTTTATGTCCTCAATTTTTTTAAGCCCCTCATGTCTAATTGGTGTGCCTATATACTCTTACTTAGGTGTGCGACCATCCACTGGAGTGTTGAATCTACCAGGGGCCACATCCTTGAAGAAAACAAATCTTCTGGAAGCTATCAATTCCTAACAGCTCCAAGTGAGACTTCACGCTCACACCCACCTCAGTGCTGGGTTGTGTCTGGCTTTAGTTTCTATAGGTCTTGTGCATGATGCTGCAACCGCTGTCAGTTTGTATGTAATTGCCCTATTGTGTCCATAAGAATCAGAGACTGGACGAACACAAGCAAGCTGGTTTTTATGTGTATGTGCATATGTGTATATATGTTTACCATGTATATGCAGGGGCACACAGAGGTCAGAAAAGGACATTGGATCCCTTGCTCCAGAGTTAGAGGATGTTGTAAGATACCATGTGGGTGCTGGGAACTAAATCTGGGTCCTCTGTAAGAGAACCAAGTGCTCTTAACCACTGAGCAATCTTTCCAGGCCCAAATTAAATTTCTGATGTTTAACTTTTTTCACTTTAAAGTAAACACAGAGGAATTTGGAGGTCTACAGCTGGGGAAATTTTCTGAAATTTGGCCTCGATGATGGAAATATTCAGGCTCACTGGTCCATCTGGCTACCAACACCCACATTTTTGTTACTATTATTACTCTTCTATTTGTGGATTTTGTCTCTTAAAAATCATTTATAGAATATAATCAGGTGAGTGAAATTAAATAGGTGCTTTTTATCCTTAATCAGAAGCATGAGAAACTTTTAAGAAAAGTGGTAGACAGTTTTAGATTCCTTTAGTGAAGGAGCTTCTGAGCAGAGGGATGTTGTTTCACAGAGGCAGATATGCTTTCCTAGAAACCATGCTTTACTGTAGACCCATGGCTCCCAGCCTTCCCAACCCTTAACACAGTTCCTCATGTTGTGGTGACCCCCAATCATAAAGTTATTTTGTTGCTAATTCATAACTGCAATTTTGCTACTGTTATGAATAGTAATGTAAATATCTGACATGCAAGATACCTGATATGTAACCTCCAAAAGGGTCGTGACCACAGGTTGAGAACTCCTGTTGTAGATTGTCATTATCAATCAGTGACAAGAGTGTTTAACGTCTAAAGAAAAAATAAAACATCTCAGATTTTACAGAGCCCAGTGCTGAACTAATTTTGAGTGTTCTAATAGAGACAGAGGGGAACCAGGTATCATAAGTGTTCACTAACAAGGCTCTGGGGAATGTTATTCCCTGACTTCTTGGATCTATAGACATTTAAAGTAGATTTGTTCACCCTCTTCTAGGGATTATCCTGATGAAACAGCAGCTCTGTCTCTATCAAGTCAGGCTTCAAACTGAAAACATAACACACTTCAAAATTCCTCAAAACCTTGTCCAGGCAGAACCAGATTTGTCTCAGGTCATCACAAGTTTTTAGCAAAGAGACTCATCTCTCTGGATTTTTCTCTCCAAGCAGATGACTATCTATGACTATCTAAAACTATCTATGACTGCTCCACTTCCCATCCAGATATGACATCGACTTGTCTTTGCAATCTTTTTGCTCATTTCTTAGACTCCTCCTCATCTAGAACCTTGATATATTTTTCTCCAAGCTTCTATTCCTTCTACACAATTTTTCATCTTCATTGAATAGCTTGACTTTTGCCTTGGTCTATTTGCTGTTTGTATTTAATATTCTTTATTCAGATCCCCAATCCTAGTCAATCCCATTAAAGACCTTTTCAGGAAGATTATGAGTCTTTCTTCCCAAATAAATACTTTTTCATGGCTTTCTTGTCAGTGAACAGGGTGGCAGTGAGCACAGGAACTCGACTGAAATTGTCATAGATGAAGAGGCAGTGGTGGTAAGTAAAGGGACTTGATTGATTTGAATGACAGAAAGTGAACCAATTTATGGAAATACTTCATGGTTGTTTCAAAGATATGTTGAGATTTCTGAGGACAAGACTCCAAGAAGGATGATAAAGCTTTCTAAGGAAAAGTAAAACCAAGAAATAGAGCAGAAGATGCTAATACAAAATACTGAGGAGAATAGCAAAAAGATGAAATGTGAAAACTTGGCACCACAGGGCTCATTTGGTGAGGGAAGCTGCTGTCAAGGCTGTTGATCTGAGTTCAATTCCTAGAATCCAAATGGTGGAAGGAGAAAACTGACTCCTCTAAGTTGTCCTCTGACCTCTACACAGACGCAGACACAAGCACACACACACACACACACACACACACACACACACACACACACACACACGTGCACACACACAATAAATAAATGTTTTAAATGACTTTAAAGCAGAGATATTTGGGTTTATTTAAAGGAGTTTGGAGAACTTACTCATGTGAACTATTTATTGCTATAGCAATAAACTGATTGATACGTTTTGTGCTGGCTTAGGTAGTACAAGACTTATTCTCTAAAATAACATGCAGGGCCTGGGAAATGCTCATTGGAAATAAAGACAGAACCTGGAAGTCAAGGAATCCTGGACCTACCTGCCAACCGGTATTCCTCTTTGTCTAAGAAATTAAAAATCCACTGAGTCCTAGAAGAGTCTTTCCCTTCAAAACATGTTATTTGAATGTACTCAGTCACCAGAGTCTTTGTAAGGCATCACCAAGTCAGAAACAAAATTGTCTGTGGCTCTTTCTTACCTCTCATCAAAGTTGTGACATTTTGAGATGTGTTAGTCAATTCAGTTAGTGTAAGTTTCAGAGGTTCACATATAAGTAATCATTTTCAGATTCTCCTCTCGGAAAAGTTTGAAATTTTGACTTTGAAATCTAAACACTACTTCAGGAAATTCTTTGGTCTGCATATAGGCTTATGTTTAGGTGTGAACTCTGATTAATGAAAAACATTTACAAGAAGGTGATACTGTTGACAGAAAACCCAAGGACTTGATATTTTTCATCCAGAGAAGTGGTCAAAAGTAGAGAGAAGAAATCACTCCACTGCCTTTTCCATGAAATGGGTTAGCATGAAGGTTTGGTAAAGGCAACCTTTTTGTATGTTTTGGGACAGTCTCACAAAAGAATGTATAATTTGGCTCACATTAACATAGCCATAAAGATATCCTAGTGTGATAGTAGAGCTGGTAGCACCTGATGAGCCTATTCTAAGCTGGGTATTTGGGAAGCCGATGATGCCTAGACCCTTACTGGGAGAGATCTCCTTGTATCACAGACTGAACAGAGGGAAGGAGAGAGGAAAGGTAAAAAATATGGAATTCTTTAGGAGGAAAGAATTAAAGGAAGTAAGACCTGATAGCAGGAAACATCAGGACTGGGGAGTAGTGAACTTAAATACAGACTTGGGTATTGGAAGGCTTAGAAGCCAGTGCCTACAGCTTAAGACTCAATCCTACATTCTATCTTTTCTGACCCCCAGATGCTTTAGGCTCATGGAAAACCACTCCAGCATCTCAGAGTTTTTCCTGCAAGGAATATCAGGGTTTCCAGAACAACAACAGCTACTCTATGGGCTTTTCCTATGTATGTATCTTGTCACCTTGACTGGGAATGTGCTCATCATCCTGGCCATTGGCTCTGACCCACATCTCCACACTCCTATGTACTTCTTTTTGGCCAACCTGTCATTTGCTGACATGGGTTTAATATCCTCTACAGTGACGAAGATGCTATTTAATGTTCAGACTCAGCACCACACCATCTCCTACACTGGTTGTCTCATCCAGATGTATTTCTTCCTGATGTTTGGTGATCTGGACAGCTTCTTCCTGGCTGTGATGGCCTATGACCGTTATGTGGCCATCTGCCGCCCTCTCCATTATTCCACAATCATGAGTGCCCGATTCTGTGTGCTGATGCTTGCCCTGTGCTGGGTCCTCACCAACGTAGTTGCCTTGACTCACACTCTCCTCATGGCTCGACTGTCTTTCTGCGTTTCTGGGGAAATAGCTCACTTTTTCTGTGACATTACTCCTGTCCTGAAGTTATCATGCTCTGACACTCATATCAATGAGCTAATGGTTTTTGCCTTAGGAGGCACAGTACTCATGGTCCCCTTTGTAAGTATTGTCATCTCCTACATCCACATTGTATTTGCTGTCCTTAGGGTTAGAACCCCTGGTGGGGGTACAAAGGCTTTTTCTACATGTAGTTCCCACCTCTGTGTGGTCTGTGTTTTCTATGGGACGCTCTTCAGTGCCTACTTGTGCCCCCCCTCTGTAGTCTCAGTAGAAAAGGACATTGCAGCTGCTGCAGTGTATACAGTGGTGACTCCCATGTTGAACCCCTTCATCTACAGCCTAAGGAACAAGGACATGAAGGGGGCCCTGAAGAGGCTCCTCTGTAGTAGGAGAATTTTCTCTTCCTAAATATAATGAGAGTAATGTATAATGAAGAGACATGTCTATGTTAAACAAGTTTCTTTTAATTTGGGGTTGGACACATTAGCCATGAGATTGATGTCTAATTAATTAGCCTCAATGGATTTTAGTCTTCCCGTCTATAAAATAAAGATTATAGAAAATACATTATTTATTTATTTCCTTGCTTATTTTGTTTATTCTTTTCTCCATCCTGTCTTCTTATTTGAGATAGGTCTTTGATGTACAACCCAGGCTAACTATACATTCGCTGTGTAGCCTGAGTTGGTCTTTAACTCACAATTCTCCTACTTCAATCTCCTGGGTGCTAGGTTTGCAGTCATTAACATCAACACCCAGTTCAATTGTCTCTATTTTTTTTGAGACAGGGTTTCTCTGTGTAGTTTTGCACCTTTCCTGGAACTCACTTTGTAGACCAGGCTGGCCTCAAACTCACAGAGATCTGCTTGCCTCTGCCTCCCAAGTGCTGAGATTAAGCGTGCACCATCACCACCTGGCCAATTGTCTTTATTTAATGAGAGTGTTGGAAGATTGGGTAAAATGAGCTAGGAAATGCATTAGATGCAACAGCAAATGTAATTGACACCCAACAACTGATAGCTATTGGTGAGATGGATGTCACTCTTCATATGTACCGCAACCCAGAAGTAATAAACTGTTCTCTGAGATCCATTTGTTCAACAAGTATTCAAAGAGAATTTTCTATGTGCCTAAAGCTAAGCAAAAGCCCCTACTCTAGTGACATTTCATTCTAGATTATCAGTTCATCACTTGATGCATTTGTCTTCTTCATAGGAATAAGTGGAAGTTAAGAGAAAATAAAGGATAGACGTTACATTCCAGGAAGTCCAGAATAAGTTAAAAAAAATCCCATTACTATGAACTCAGCACTTAGATTTCTGTGCTGGCTAAATGACTTTCCACAGCTTGAAAAGGTTTCTCCAGGAATGTTGTTAGGCTTCTTCACAACACTTCTGCCCATTGCTTCTCAGGAATATTCAGTGTTGAGGCTGCAAAGATGGTTCAGTAGATAGAGCACTTGTTGCCCTTGCAGTGGACTAGGTTCAATTCCCAGCACCTAGGTCAGGCAGCTCACAACCACCTGCAACTCCAGCCCCAGGAGATCCAACACCCTCTTCTGGCTTCCATGGACACATGCATGCATATGTGTATGCTCACACATAGACACACATGTATATAAATAAAAATTTAAAAAGAGAAAAAGAAAAAACACTCCTTAAAAAAAAAAAACAAAAAAGATGTTCAACTCTGGCAGCCTTCTAGAGACCACTAAATGAGAATATTAAAACCTATTTACTTATTTGATTGCAAATTTGTCTTCAAGTCTAAACCTGAATCAGAATCTTAGCTTTAGATAGAGAAAAATGAGATGTGTAAAGGTGCTTTAGCTTCTCCCCTTTAAGAATCACACAAGTGTTAACATTTTAGAGTAAGTACCATCAAATTGGATTCTTCTATTTGGCTTGACCATTGTCTACCATCTACCTAAACAACCAATCCAGGTAGGTGAGCAGAGTATGTTCACTTTGGCTTGACCATTGTCTACCATCTACCTAAACAACCAAGCCAACTAGGGGAGCAGAGTTCACTTTGGCTTCCCCAATATTACTGCAGCAGTAAGGGTGTAGGTCAGCTCAGCATGTAAAGGACCACCAAGGGATATGATTACTTGTCCCCAATCAACTGTCTACAATCTTAGATTCTACCCAGTCAAGCTAGTTACCATTGTACTAAAAATTCTAAATATATTTCTTTCTTGATATATAATTTTTACCTTTGGCTCTAAAGTTTAAACTTCTACCTCTTTAAAGTCACCCATTATAATGTGTTGTTGGTACTTCAGTGACTTACACTGAAGTAAGGATTACTGTTAAGTCTTTGCACCTCAGCAGTACAATGGGATTTTCACTGGGATCAGAGGTGAGTAATGAGCAGTCTATTTGTGTATCTTGACTACTTAAGGTACCTACTTTTTATTTGCTTAGAACCCACATAGAAAAAGCAGGTCATCTTTAACTCATTACCCCAATTCCTTACAGTTATTAAACATAATCAAAATTGTTCCAGCTATCTAGATTTCTATTATTCCTTACATATTTGTTTATAAAGCAAAAAATCAAGAACATGGCACTGCTTCCTTTCATTACTATTACCAGTCTGGCATGCTTCCATATTATGCTCTTTCCATCCTCATATCATGATATTCATCCAGGCACTTATTGTCTGTTACCCAATGTACAAGGACCAATCTATTGTCAAATTATCTGCAGTGGTTACCCAAGTACCTAACCTACTTAATATGGCATCTTGTGTCCTGCATAATAAAATACTTACCTGCTTGTCCAGATTCATATGTGATGCTCTCTTGACTCCCACACAGGTGTGCTTTAGCAACACAAACCCTTTTTAAATTTCCTTGAACTTAGCAAGCTACTGTATCAACCCTGGTTTAGTCTATCACTTCCATCTAGATTGTCATTTGTCCCATTGTATGTTAATCCTGCACATCCTTCAAAACTCAGTTGAAAGCTTTCTTCCCCATAATGTTTTTGCTGGAACCTAGTCAGCATTTCCTATGTCCTCTCTTGTGCTACATCATGTAATTATGTCATTGAGCTAAGCCTCAGTTTCCTTAATTATAAAATACATGTAATAGTCTGTACTGTATAGGATTGTTAGGAGGATCAAAAGAGATAACACAGATAGGAGGCACTGTTAACACATGGCCTGTCATACAGAATCATGTAAAAAACAATGACCATTTCATTATTTTATAGTAAGGCATTTTTGGTACTCTTTCATATTTCATTCTGTCTCTACATAACTAGAATGCAAGCTAGAGGTATGTCCTTTTCTTGTTCTATAAGAGCAGAGTGAGGCACACTGCCTGCCATAGGGTAGGTATTGTGCTAAATGACTGCTAACTGACAGGATCTATAAAATAAGGAAAGTAACACTCTAATTTTTCATACTTAGTGATAAGTACATTAATTTTATGTATATGTGTGATAACCTTGCTTCATTTACAGCCTCTTTCTTTCAAATTACATATATACATATATAACATATATGTGTGGAACCAGTTAGGATTGAGTTTGCAGGCAGCATGACCCAATTCCTGTAGTTTAATCAGGGAAATGATCAGGAGGTTTTCCTTGTCACTGTTCTCAGAGCCAAGAAGCCTCAAGTCCTGAAATGGAATAGCTGAACTCATAACAGAGTTTCCTGGGTTAGAGAAGATACAATAGATTTCTTCTCCTGATCCACCCTCATTAAAACCAATTTCTTAAAATAAGAAGAGCATTAGATTGGAGGTGAAGTAAGGAAATTATATAGATTTTAAATGCCCCATTCTTTGAACTTTCTACACTATTGTTGGCATCCTCTAACAATTTTTTTTTTTTTTTTGGTTTTTCGAGACAGAATTTCTCTGTGTAGCTTTGCGCCTTTCCTGGAACTCACTTGGTAGCCCAGGCTGGCCTCAAACTCACAGAGATCCGCCTGCCTCTGCCTCCCGAGTGCTGGGATTAAAGGCGTGTGCCACCACCGCCCGGCTTCTCTAACAATTTTTATGAACAAACGTATTTCCAGGAAATCAGAAGAGTGATTAAATTACTCTAATAATTGTAATTTTCAAATCCAGAGGCAAAATAGATTGGCAACAATAACAGTTTTCACTTTTTACACTAAAGAGATGCAAGGAAAACAGAGAATAAGTATACCAGAATGCCATTTAAGTAATCAAATATTTACTATGTGCTCCAAAATGCGACCACAATTGGGGTTGTAGTATTGGGAGATATGTGAATACATAAGTTTATTATGAGCATATGAAATGATGTCATTAAGTTGAGATTGTTGCCCTGTTGAAGAGCTTCTTCAGAGCCTCTTTCACATCTTGGTTCCTTATGCTATAAATGAAGGGGTTCAGCAATGGAGTGACCACTGTGTACATTACAGAAGCAGCTATGTCTTTGTCACTGGAAGAGCTGGATGAAGGTATAAGATAAAGTCCAATAATTGCACCATAATACAGAGATACCACAGAGAGGTGGGAACCACATGTGGACAAGGCTTTGCAGATCCCTTTGGTAGATGAGATTTTCAGGATGGTGGTCCCAATTCGGCCATAAGAGATTAAGATGCATATTAGTGGCAGAGTAATGACTGCCGTGCCCGCTGTAAAAATGACCAGCTCATTGGGGGAGATGTCTGAGCATGAGAGCTGCAGCAAAGCATTGAGGTCACAGAAGAAATGAGGAATGGTGTTGTTGGCACAGAAGGACAGCCAGGCCAGTAGGAGGGTGTGAGAGAGAGCACTAACACAGGACAGGATCCAGGATATAGCTACCAGTGAGATACACAGCTCTTCCCTCATGATGGTGGTGTAGTGGAGGGGATGGCAAATGGCCACATACCGATCATATGCCATTGAAGTGAGAAGAAAATTGTCCAAATCAGTGAATAATATAAAAAAATACATCTGTGCTATACAATGTGCATAGGGAATGGATGGATCCTGAGTTTGCATGTTCCTTAGCATCTTGGGTACAGTGACAGATGAGAAAGAGATGTCCATGAATGCCAGGTTACTGAGGAAGAAGTACATGGGGGTGTGGAGGCGAGAGTCCAGCCTGATAAGCAGGATGATGAGCAGGTTCCCTAGGACTGTGGTCAGGTACATGGCCAGGAATAGGGCATAGTATGTGCCTTGATCCTCTGGCTGGATGGGGAGCCCCAGGAGGATGAACTCAGACACAGTGCTCTGGTTCTCCCTCCTCATGTTCTTCTTCTCTTTGCTGTGAACAGAAAGATATTGAAGAATGAGAGAACAAACAGGCATTGATTTACAGCAGGGAAGTAAAAATATGATTCCTTTTTATGGGTGAATATTAGTATTAGTCATTAAAGTGGGTTGCACTTTATGCTGGTATTAGTCATTTTAAAGTGAGTTGCACATGAAATGA